TACAGACCAATAATAGCAGTATGTTATGCATCAATAGCAGCAACAGCTTTTCCAGGTTCTGCAGTCATCTGAACAAAATTATAGACATTCAGCACATTGCATTAAAAAAACAAAAACAAAAAAACAAACAAAAAAAAAGAATAATATCCAGAAAACAGCAAAGTTCTGTTGCTGTTGTGGTACCTGGCACCATTTTTTTTATTAGCATCTTAATCATCATCTGGAAAGAGAACATTCTAGAGTAATATCATTAAATATAGCTCTAATAAAGCATGGTCACTACTATGTATCATAAAGCAGGTACAAGATATTTTACATTCACAGAGGTATGATACAGTACCATCCTACATCAATAACACTAAAATCAGTTTTCATTTGAAATTTGCTTTGTCTGCAAATAAGATTGCTACCCCTGTTTTTTCCTGGGCTCCTATCACATGGAGAATTATTTTCTATCCTATTCACTTTCAGTCTATGGGCTTTTATTTTTTTTGCACTAGGTGTGTTTCTTGTATACAATATATTGTTGGGTTTTGCTTCTTATTCCATTTTGCCAGTCTATTTCTCTTGATTAGTGAGTTGAAGCCATTGACATTGATGGTTATAACTGATATGTACTGACTTATTATTAACATGTTATTGTCCTTTTGTTGATTCTTTACTTTTTCACCTTCTCCTTTTAATTTCTTGCCTTACTTATTTGATTTGCTCTGTTGGGCCTTGTGTTGTTGCCTTGTCTTTTTCTAGGATCTTGTTTAGAATTGCTTGTAGTGCTGGTTTGATATTCATGTAGTTTCTCAGGTGTTCTTTGTCGTGGAAGTGTCTTATTTCCCCATCCATTTTGAAAGAGAGTTTTGCAGGATACATCAGTCTAGGTTGGAGGTTTTTCTCTTTTAGTACTTGAAATATCTCATTCCAGGCTCTCCTTGCCCCAGGGGTTTGTGTTGAAAAGTCTGCTTTGATTCTGATGGGCTTTCCTTTGTATGTTATTTGTTTCTTTTCTCTTACTGCTTGTAGTATTTTGTTCTGTTGGGTTTCTGAAATCTTGATTATTATATGTCTAGGTGTAGATTTTTTTTTCTTTTTATTGAGGTTAATGGTACACTCTAGGTATACAATACAATTACATTCATCATTGGGATTCTGTACTTTTACATAATAGGTCTTGATTCTCATTTTCCCCTTGTCCCTGCCCTCCCTTCACCCCCTCCTCCCCTCCCCATTTGCAAACACTTTATTTCCATTTTTTCAGTTTCTCATATTTTTCCCCTCCCTTATTACCTTTCCCCCACTCCTCCCACTTTCCTTACACCTTTAGCCCTTCACTTCCTATTTCACATTATTAATTGTCTCATTAGGATCCTGTGTACTATTATAGTTTTTCACACCAAAGAAACTATT